TCAAACTATTGCACCATTTTTTGGTCCAAAAAAAAAAAAAAAAAAAAAACCTCATTGTTATTCACATGCTGTAAAATTATGCTTAAAATCCTACAAATGCTAGAAAGGACTCCGGCAGGTATGTGGATCGAGAAAAAAACTACCATAGAGTGCAGGCAGGATTTTTTCGAAGTAATAAGGCAGAGGAACTAGAGATCAAATTGCCAACATCCGCTGGAATCATTGTAGAAAGGAGCATAGGGTATATGTTCCGAAAAAGATCTAACTTCTGTGCTTCTTCGACTTATGCAAAAGCCTTTATGTGTGGATCACAACAAATTTGGTGTGGCAAGTTCTTAAAGAGATGGGAATACCAGACCATCTTATATGTCTCTTGAGAAATCTATATGCGGGTCAAGAAGCAACAGTGAGAACTGAACACGGAACCACTGATTGGTTCAAAATTGGAAAAGGAGTCCGGCAAGGCTGTATACTGTCGCCCTGCCTATTTAAATTATATGCAGAGCACATCATGAGAAAGGCAGGGCTAGATGAATCAAAAGTTGGAATTAAGATTGCCGGGAGAAATATCAACAACCTAAGATATGCAGATGATACCACGCTAATGGCAGAAAGTGAAAAGGAACTAAAGAGCCTCTTGATGCGGGTGAAGAAGGAGAGTGCAAAAGATGGCTTGAAACTCAACATTAAGAAAACCAAAATCATGGCATCCGGCCCTCTCAATTCCTGGCAAATAGATGGGGAAGAAATGGAGGTAGTGACAGATTTTATTTTTCTGGGCTCCAAGATCACCTCAGATGGGGATTGCAGCCAAGAAATTAAAAGACGCTGCTCCTGGGGAGGAAAGCTATGGCAAATTAGACAGCGTACTAAAAAGAAGAGACATCACCCCTGCCAACAAAAAAGTGCGTTAGTCCAGGCCATGGTTTTGCCAGTTGCAATGTATGGCTGTGAAAGTTGGACCATAAGGAAGGCTGAGCGCCAAAGAATGGAGGCCTTTGAACTATGGTGCTGGAGAAGACTCCTGCGAGTGCCTTGGACTGCAAGGCGTTCAAACCGGTCAGTCCTAGAAGAGATCAACTCCGACTGCTCTTTAGAAGGCCAAATCCTGAAGTTGAAACTCAAATACTTTGGCCACCTAATGAGAAGGAAGGACTCACTGGAGAAGGGCCTAATGCTGGGAAAGATTGAGGGCAATAGAAGAAGAGGACGACAGAGAATGAGATGGCTGGATGGAGTCACTGAAGCAGTAGGTGTGAATTTAAATGGACTCCAGAAGATGGTAGAGGACAGAAGACCTGGAGGAAGTTGTTCCATGGGGTCGGATGGGCGGAACACGACTTCGCAATTAACAACCCCCCCCCAAAAGAAAAAACCTTTTAACGGCTTTAAAACGACGGTATTTCTCTATCTTTATTTAACGGTATTAAACACCTATTAATAGGGCCCATGGAGGAAAATTCACTCAGGGTTTCTGCTTAAGCAGGCGGCTGGGGGGGACTAGAAGACCTCCGAGGTTCCCTTCCAGCTGTATTATGACAGAATTCTCCTCCAATGGGATTTTTCCATGTATTTCACTGAGGAAACATACATAGGGCAGCCTAGAAGGGGCAAGTGCACTCAACCATACCAAAGAAATCCGAGTTTGTGCGATGTCCCATTTTGCTCAAGAGTTCACAGGACGTAACCCTAACCCTAAGTGGAATTTTCCTACAATGGGATTTTCCATGTATTTTACCAGGAAACATAGAAAGGGCAGCCTAGAAAAGTCAGTGCCCTCCTAACCATACCCAAGCACTCCGAGTTTGTTGGCGATGTCCATTTTGCTCTAGGAGTTCATGGTGATGTAACCATAACCCTAAGTGGAATTTTCCTCCAATGGGATTTTCCCACTTTTTTACTAGGAAACATAGAAAGGGCAGCCTAGAAAAGTCAGTGCCCTCCTAACCATACCCAAGCCCTCCGAGTTTGTTGGCGATGTCCATTTTGCTCTAAGAGTTCACGGTGACGTAACCCTAACCCTAAGTGGAATTTTCCTCCAATGGGATTTTCCCATGTATTTTACCAGGAAACACACATAGGGCAGCCTAGAAATGTCAGTGCACTCCTAACCATACCCAAGCACTCCAAGTTTGTTGGCGATGTCCATTTTGCTCTAAGAGTTCACGGTGACGTAACCCTAACCCTAACTGGAATTTTCCTGCAATGGGATTTTCCCACTTTTTTACTAGGAAACATAGAAAGGGCAGCCTAGAAAAGTCAGTGCCCTCCTAACCATACCCAAGCCCTCCTAGTTTGTTGGCGATGTCCAATTTGCTCTAAGAGTTCACGGTGACGTAACCCTAACCCTAAGTGGAATTTTCCTCCAATGGGATTTTCCCATGTATTTTACCAGGAAACATACATAGCGCAGCCTAGAAAGGTCAATGCTCTCCTAACCATACCCAAGCACTCCTAGTTTGTTGGCGATGTCCATTTTGCTATAGGAGTTCATGGAGACGTAACCCTAAACCTAACTGGAATTTTCCTCCAATGGGATTTTCCCATGTATTTTCCAGGAAACATAGATAGGGCAGCCTAGACAGGTCAGTGCCCTCCTAACCATACCCAAGCACTCCGAGTTTGTTGGCGATGTCCATTTTGCTCTAGGAGTTCACGGGGACGTAACCCTAACCCTAAGTGGAATTTTCCTCCAATGGGATTTTCCCATGTATTTTTCCAGGAAAAATAGATAGGGCAGCCTAGAAAAGTCAATGCTATCCTAACCATACCCAAGCACTCAGAGTTTGTTGGCGATGTCCATTTTGCTCTAGGAGTTCACGGTGATGTAACCCGTAACCCTAAGTGGAATTTTCCTCCAATGGGAATTTTCCCACTTTCTTACAGGAAACATAGCATAGGGGAGCTAAGAAAAGTCAGTGCCCTCCTAACCATTACCAAAGCACTTGAGTTTGTTGGCGATGTCCATTTTGCTCTAGGAGTTCATGGTGACGTTTAACCCGAACCCTAACTGGAAATTCTCCTGCCAATGGGATTTTCCCAGTATTTTACCAGGAAACAACTATTAGCGCAGCCTAGAAAAGTCAGTGCCCTACTAACAATACCCAAGCACTCCAAATTTGTTGGTGGTGTCCATTTTGCTGTATGAGTTGACGGTGACCTAAACCTAAACCCAAGTGGAATTTTACTCCAATGGGATTTTCCCATGTATTTTACCAGGAAACATAGATAGGGCAGGCTAGAAAAGTCAATGCCCTCCTAACCATACCCAAGCACTCGAATTTGTTGGTGACATCCATTTTACTCTAGGAGTTCATGGTGACCTAACCCTAACCCTAAGTGGAATTTTCCTCCAATGGGATTTTCCCATGTACTTTACCAGGAAACATAAAAGGGCAGTCCTAGAAAGGTCAGCACTCCTAAACAACCAAGCACTCCGCTTTGTTGGCGATGTCTATTTTGCTCTAGGAGTTCATGGAGACGTAACCCTAACCCTAAGTGGAATTTTCCTGCAATGGGATTTTCCCATGTATTTTTCCAGGAAAAATAGATAGGGCAGCCTAGAAAGGTCAGTGCTCTCCAAAGCATACCCAAGCACTCCTAGTTTGTTGGCGATGTCCATTTTGCTCTAGGAGTTCATGGTGATGTAACCCTAACCCTAAGTGGAATTTTCCTCCAATGGGATTTTCCCACTTTTTTACCAGGAAACATAGATAGGGCAGCCTAGAAAGGTCAATGCTATCCTAACCATACCCAAGCACTCCGAGTTTGTTTGCGATGTCCATTTTCCTCTAGGAGTTCATGGAGACGTAACCCTAACCCTAACTGGAATTTTCCTCCAATGGGATTTTCCCATGTATTTTACCAGGAAACATACATAGGGCAGCCTGTTTCCCGCGTCCTCTTGGGGTTTTTACTGGGCTCCCAACCTTACTCCATTTCCATCCCTGTCTCTTTAAAAGGAAAAACCTTAACCTCACTGAAAGTGCCAAAAAAAAGGGTGGGGGGAATCCTCAAGGACAACTTACCTGTTTTCTCCCAGTTTTCTCCTTTCTCTTACCTCTGGGCGGTGGGTGGGCTGTTTACGGCAACCTGGAGAGGAAAGGAAGAAATCTCCTACCCTTCCTAACCCTGACTTGTTTTGGACGAAGGTCTACAAAGTTAGATGGACGGCGAACAAAATAATAAAAGCCATTAGTTGCAACTTCTCACGTCTCATCCCTTTTATCCATCCTTTAAATGATAAACCTAGAAGGGAACGATAGGTTATACACATTTTCAAAATAAACTGCATTTATTTTTTATACTTTTGAAGCAGATTTCTTCTTCCGCTCCTGCGTTGCAGCAAACGGGCCTCCCCTGGCCCTATTAATAAGGTGTTAATACCGTTAATAAAATAAATAACTTCCCCTCTCCCAGGAAACAGGCGGTGGGAGCATAAGCATAAGCATAACCCAAGCAAAGCAACAGAATAAGAGACGTGGAGTTCCAACTAGAATTTAACAGAATATCTCTCTGCAGCAAAAAAAAAGGAAAGCATCTCCTAAATTCTGCATGTAATCTTTATTTTATTTTGCATTTATAAAATTTTCAGTTTTTTTTAAAACAGCATTTTAAGCATTTTCCTGCTCAACAAGATAAAGTTCTCTGTTGGAAGAAGGGACGATCCCCATCAGCACCCCAGAGGTGGCTGATGGGACTTGTAATCCAGTAGAAGCCCAAGTCGCCCTCTGTTCTCTCAATCCTAAAAAGCACAGCTGCAAAAATGATGGGGATATTTTAAAAAATGGGCCTTTGCAACGGGAGAGGGGGGTGGTGGGAGGCAGCCTCTCAGGCACAAGGCTGCCTGACGAATGGGATTTGTAGTCCAAAGGGTCCCCGGGCGGGGCGAAGGCTCGAGGAGGAGGCATTACGCAGTCTAATTCTCTTCACCTGTGCGGGCCGAGGCACACCTGACCGTGATGAGCAGCTTCCCGCGCGGCGGCCGTCTCCATGGCAACCGCTGCGCGAGCTGGGAAAATAGCCCAGCGTTCGCACCTGTGTTTGGGCGGGAAAGAGCGCGCGCCTTTCCCGCCCAGCGCCCTCGGACTGCCTCGCGGGCTCCTGTCTGCACGCCCATCTCGCTCGTGATTGGCTGCTCCGGAAACGCTTCCCTCGGATTGGCTGAGCGGCCTCTCCCCTCTCCGAGAGGCGGGGGCATTTAAAATGTCGGCGGGCTTCTCAAGCTGAGTGCAAAAAGAAAAACGAGCGCGCTGCAGAGACAGCCGACGCCGCTACCGCGTCTCTTTTTCCTCAGAAGAGAGGCGATAGCGGCGTCTCGTGGCTCTGCAGCGCGCTAGCTTTTCTTTTGGCACTCAGCTTGAGAAGCCCGCCGACTTTTTCTTTTTTCTGCGGGGCGCCGGAGGGCAAAAATGTCTCTCTCCGGCTCTCCCGCGGCTCACGTCCTCGAGCTCGAGGTCGGGGAGAATTTTTTTTACCTTTTGGGGATGCGGAGGGGGGCGCGAGTTCGTTAGCTAATTAATAGCTTATTGTTCTCGAGGAGTCAGGATAGCACCTGGGGTAATTTTAACCACGGCGTGTATTCTTACGAGTAAAACGCCAGTGGTAGCTCAACAGTGTTTTATTTAAAGGACTCCAAAACCCATAGGTCGCTAAAGATACTTATCTCAGTCTTTCGCTCGGGGAATAACGCAAACCGCTGTGTCTTAGAATAATACTAGTCAAGTTCTTAAAATTTTGGTCGAACGCTAATCTCAGCCATGTCCTTTTTAAAGGGACCAAACCAGCAAAGGTCAAATTTAGCTTTAAAGGTAAAATTATCTTAAGAACTGACTTCTCTCTTAGGAATAAAGTGAATTCTTGGGGTAATTTTAGGCAAGAATTCAAGTTCTGAGAATAAAATTTTGGTCGAACCTGAGGTAATCTCAGCCATGTCCTTTTTAAAGGGACCAAACCAGCAAAGGTGAATAGGATTTAAAATTAGCTTTAAAGGTAAAATTATCTCAGGAACTGACTTTCTTCTTAGGAATAAAGTGAATTCTTGGGGTAATTTTAGCCAAGAATTCAAGTTCTTAGAATAAAATTTTGATGAGACCTGAGCTAATCTCAGCCATGTCCTTTTTAAAGGGACCAAACCAGCAAAGGTGAATAGGAGTTAAAATTAGCTTGAAAGGTAAAATTATCTCAGGAACTGACTTTCATCTTAGGA